CCTAAAAAACTTATGCATACCAATCCGAAAGTATTTCATCATAAAATACAACCAAATAATCCGAAAAGTCCCGTTATGATATAATAAAAACTACATGTTTACATACCTTCGCGCGTTTCAAGAGCTCATTTTGACCAGCGGCAACATTTTCCTTCTTACCGGCCCATGCACGCAAAACGGAAGCCTGCAAGGCACGACCGTACGAGAAGGTCAGAGCCCATGGTTTCAACAATGGCACGTTGTTGATGGCGTTCAAGTGCACGGAAGCCTCTTCCTCAGATTGACCACCAGACAAGAAGGTGATACCTTTGAAAAATAAAAAGTTATAATTATAATTACAATAAATAACTAAATTACAGCAACAACTTACCGGGAACAGCAGCTGGTACAGTTCTGCGCAGAGCTTCGACGGTGGCGAGCGCTACTTGATCGGGTGTGTATTTCTTGGCGCACGATTGACCGGCTGTCACCATGTTGGGCTTCAACAATGTACCCTCCAAGTAGACATGATGGTCGTTCAARGCCTTATATACGGCAGCCAATACAGTTTCGGTAACCTTTTGTGCGCGATCCAAATCGTGATCACCATCGGGCAATACTTCGGGTTCAACGATTGGTACAATGCGYTGCGATTGGCAGATGGAGGCATAACGTGCCAAAACGTTGGCGTTCTCCAAGATGGATTGGTACGATGGGGTGTTCTTGCCAATCTTCAAGACGCAACGCCACTTGGCGAAGTCACAACCGTCCTTCTTGTATTGGGCGCAACGGGCAGCCAAATCATCCAAACCTATGGAGTTGAGAGAGTAGAAGGCAGAGTATTAGTACGATAAAAAAAAAAAAAAAACTTTGTGTGCAAGTTTAGAGAGAAGACAGATCGGAAATGATTAGAGAAGAACAAGGAACCAAATGTTTTAGGTTTCTGAGGAAGGCTTAAATAAAGACTTWGATCTCGGTTTCCCAATTCTCGCTTTCTATATTACTCGAACATTTAACTTAAATCAAGAGAGACCGATATTTTATGACAAGTAATAAAATGAAAAAGTTAACGGTATATACAAAATCGATCTACTAGTTGCAGAGACAGCTTTCTTGCGGCTCAATTTTAATATGGAACTTATAGTATTGCAAACCTATAGTGCTATTGTCACAGCAGTTGCTATTATCGCCCGAAAGCAACCAACAAGCCGCAACAACTCAACTTAAAGTTCTGAAAACCCAATCTCGCAATACTAGCCCTCCATATTTACGACCGCAAAACTACTAGTTAAGTTACTGAATTGAACTGCTTACCCTGAGTGGTGCACTCGTCTTCGGAGCCGAACAATGGCACAACACCCTTATCGACCTTAATGCCGGGGATGATGCCGCGCTTCTTCAAAAGCTCAACGAATGGGGTGCCATCGTCAGCCTTCTGGTACAAGGTTTCGTGGAACAAAATCACACCAGAAATGTTCTCAGCGACTTTGGGGTCGGTGGAGAACAACAGCTGACGGTATAAGCGACGGTGTTCATCGGTATTTTCAACACCAATGTCTTGCAGACGCTTGCCCATGGTGGAGACGGACTCATCAGCAGCGAGAATACCCTTGCCGGGAGCGACAATAGCACGCGCAATGCGGCTAAGCTCCTCCTGCAATTCCTTGGATGGGTAGTTGAAGTAGGTGGTCATTTTGTTGTAGATTTGTTTTGATTTGGTGTGGTGAAAGAGACTGCAAAGAGATAGAAGA